GCACCGTACAAAAAGCTGGAAAATCCGACTTGTACAGCTTCTTGCCCTTGTTCAATATGTTTGAAGAATGGTTATAATACCTACGAATAGGTTATACGACGTGAAATCCAGATATCTGGAGCTTTAAGATATGAAAGCTTTAGGATAATAGCTTTGTGCTGCGATCCCCGGATGTTTACGCATGCGGCCCAAAGAATTAGTTAAAATGCAATTGATTGATTCAACATCGATTGCCCTTTGTCAGATATGACCATAGAATATAGTGACTGTGTGTGTGTGTGTGTGTGTGTGTGTGTGTGTGTGTGTGTGTGTGTGTGTGTGTGTGTGTGTGTGTGTGTGTGTGTGTGTGTGTGTGTGTGTGTGTGTGTGTGTGTGTGTGTGTGTGTGTGTGTGTGTGTGTGTGTGTGTGTGTGTGTGTGTGTGTGTGTGTGTGTGTGTGTGTGTGTGTGTGTGTGTGTGTGTGTGTGTGTGTGTGTGTGTGTGTGTGTGTGTGTGTGTGTGTGTGTGTGTGTGTGTGTGTGTGTGTGTGTGTGTGTGTGTGTGTGTGTGTGTGTGTGTGTGTGTGTGTGTGTGTGTGTGTGTGTGTGTGTGTGTGTGTGTGTGTGTGTGTGTGTGTGTGTGTGTGTGTGTGTGTGTGTGTGTGTGTGTGTGTGTGTGTGTGTGTGTGTGTGTGTGTGTGTGTGCCAAGCAGTTCACGCAACAATGCGCCAAGCAGTTCACGCTGCCCTTACCCTACAAAACTGGGTCTGAATTCGACGTTTTGCAAAGCTATAGAGTTCCTTAGCATGTGTTCTTCAAACAATTGACTTGAGCTTAAGAAGTAATTAAAAACCGCACTTTATTGCGAGAGCGGCGCCAAAAATAATGATTGCATAGCTGGACGATTTGTGAAGGTTTTGCCTAAGAAATCAAAAAGGTTTTCGCTCAGAGATCTAGCGCTCTTTAGTCTTCGTCGTTAGGGTAACTATCAAGCCATAATAAAATCGGTAAGCAAGTCAGAATTGCAGTATTCTTTGGCCCAAAGAGTTTTTCCCTTCGAAATGACCGGTTATACATGGAAAATATTTTAAATTGAGTAGTTGCTTACAATTTATTCTTGATGGTCAGGTAGCGGGGTAAGTTTCAAAGCCATCCACGCGAGTGCGAGAAAAGCATGTAGATAGTAAGACCAGTGCGAGAATCTGCGAAGCGGAAGTGACGCACTGGTTTATTATAGATTGACAGACTCTTTCGAAAAAGGCCTTTGTTTTTGAAGCAAACTCGAAGAGATTTTAGAGTAGGAATTGACGGCGATGCTTCGCAAGAAGCGCGTATGTTCAAAAACTTAGTTCTGCAGCACAGTTTAGTTCCTTACAAATTAAACTGAGCTGCTTTAGCAAGCCGATGGGCGTTTACTTCAAATGCGAAGACATTGTTATACTTGCTCAGTACTTAGGTACTTAGATGGCCCGTCTTCACGGGGCGTGCGGGCTCAGCACAAAAATTTCCATCTGTTCCTGTTCTCAGTGTCCATCTGTGTCTGTTCTTCTTATGATGTGACCGGCCCATCGGTGTTTCGCTTTCGCAACGTATTTTGCTGGGTCACAAGACAGTGTTCACAAAACTTATTGTAGGTTTCATGCACCAGCGCATGATCGAGGTTGAATTTGTTATTAGATCTTTCGTGAGATGCCTTGCAATTTTTCGAAGTCAAAAGAACTTGTTTTCCAAAATGCAACGGGTTGGAACTTACTGGGCCCTATGTAGACGAGTTACTCTTGAGCAAATAATCCAAAGAAAGATTACAGAATACTTGAGGAAGTAATGTTGCATACCTCATTGCTCCATTAAGCGCTTACTCCGAAATACTTCAGAGGTATTCCAGAGACTTTACGAAGGAAACATAAGTACAAATTTACACCGTCCGGTTTTCTGATTATCATAAAAACACTGTAACACTTCTGTTACTAGTTCCTAAGTTTCCCCCTTTTAACCTCGGCATTGTTAGTATGGTGTGAATAGTTTAGTAAGCCAGTAGCGGTTCGTAAATTTATTAATTAGTGGCGACCTAACATTTTGAGCTATTCGTTTTCGAGAGACCTGAAGTGGTGAGAAATTTATGATTTTATGTCTACCCCACCAAAATCTCCTCCATGCCGGCTAGCATCGATGTTGCAGCGCCACTATATCGGAAAGAGTGTGAGACCGTTGAAGGTAAGGATAGAGTATCATCTTGCCAGCAAAAAGCGAGGAAGCCTCACCACATCTCTAGGTAAACATAAAGTTGAAGTTCACGGTGGTAAGGACTTCCAGATCGGATGTGTAATACTGGCACACGAATACGACACTGCAGTTAGAAAGGCTCTTGAGGCGTTCTGGAATGTTATCCACGAAAGTCACCGCGAAATGGGCTTTTCGTGCGAATAAAATGGATTTAGTCCATGCGGTGCGATAAGATATCGCATTCCGAATACATTCATTCCATACAAAAATGCTTCAACTAACCTTTCTCCAACTTGTCTCAACCTGTTTGCTCCTTTTGCAAACTCATTTCCACCAAGTGGTCGATATCTAACTAGGTTGACCTAACATTACAATGTCACTCAAGTGGCTACTCTATTCTTTCCCACTTCGTTACACCTCACAGAATGCCATTCATTATCGATGACTATGCATCTAAATCACTTCCAAGACTAAAATTCATGTAATATGTGGGCCTTCGCTTCAAAACTTCTACGAATCAGCATTAAAATCGAGTTCGTATGTAGAGATTTCTGCAAAAAGCAAACTTTGGCTGGAGTTGCACTGCAATCTGTGAACCAAAATGCTCTTTACAAAAAATCTTGTACTACACTACAACTCAAAGGGTTTTTCAAGTCGCAAAAACTTTGAATCCCAAAAGATGACTTCGCAAGTGCTCTATATTAGCTTTTCTTTGTCTTTCTGCACTGATATTTATAACTCTAAGCAGCGAGATTTTTCACAGAATTTCTCTAGCTAGCTAGCGGCACTTCAGTGATTCTTGCGGACCAAACTCAAAATGTTCAAAATGCCGTCTCTGAGGTTCGGTTCTACAAAATTAGCCAAAGATAGCTTCTAAGTAATTACATTGAAGTACAAGTTAGTAGTTGAAGTACTAGTTTTTTTTTTCAAATTTTAGATTACAAATCATGAATTTGGTTTTGGTTGATGATTTGAAGAGTTAACAAACTTTATTTGATTTACATAAGAATTTTCTGATTAACCTGATATTAAGAAGCGTTTGGGTTTGAGCGAATTCGGGCAAATTTAATTTTCTTCTATGTTTTTTATAGCGTTTCTTTGAGTTTAGAGAGAAACACTTATTTCGGACTTCATAAAAGACATGAAACTTTTCCCACTCACCTATTACCTTAGGATAGGTTAAGGAACACATTTCCAAAAAATCGCAATCAAAAATATGCAAAAAGGTTAAAAATGGCGTAGTCCCAGCTTACCTTGCCGCTGGGAGTAAAATGGGCTTTAGGCCATAATGGAGGTAAATCCCATTTTGCCCCATTCTAAATGGACTTTTGACGTCATCATCTCGCAAGCGAGAGCTCAGGTAGGGTTAAATCATTTTCATTTCACCGCTTTGCCTCGTGGTTGCGATGGGATGAAAATTTTTGTATAACGCGAGCGAAAGCAGATTCCGACCACTCTTCACCGCGAACGAACAAAATGGGGCTTGAAAGTCCATTTTCCTCCATTATGGACTTTCGCGGATATCATTCCTAGATTTTCGCAATAAATTCAAGCATGAACAGCCGAAATGAGTGCATGTCAATCACAAATGAATTTATGACATTCGTGACGTCATGTAAGTTGAAGAAGAACGCTGATTGGTTCGAATTTGGTATACAGTGCATTCCATTATTGGTATCAGTGGAACTGAAGGATGGCCGCTTTCGGCGGTGGAGGAGTTTATTTCGTCTTCCACGTTATGGGATTTTTTTTTTTGGAGTAACATCGAGGCTAGCCGGGATGGAGGAGGTTTTTGGTGAGAGACATAAGATCATACATCTCTTACCACTTTAGGCCTCTGAAGAAAACGAATAGCTCGAAGGTTAGGCCGCCACTTACTGATAAATCTACTATATTGGCTATATACTATATTCTACTACTATACCACTATATTGGCTTACTAATTTAACCCACTTTTCTGTTACCGTTACATCCATTTACACTTTAAAAAGGCGTTAAAGTTATTTTTCAGTTTTCAAGTGATTCGAAAGACTGCATTCAGGGTAACTTCTTTTTACCGGTTTCCGAGCCTACCCACTCAGGCAATCGACCGGACCCCTCCGCCGGACAGTCGGAATCTGCCAGAGTCGCGCCGGACCCAGTTGACCAATGAGAGCGGGGCAAATGGGCGGTCCCTTCTTGTAGTCGCGGTGACACCACTGGCAGGCAAGTGGGACGCTTCTCCAGCCCTGCTGCAAAGGTACGCCGTTTCTGCTCCGGAGGTACGCCAGATTTGGAGAGCCGCGCCGGAGAAATTTGCCCGGCGCGAATCCGCCAGATTTGGAAGAGCCGCGCCGCAGAAAATCGGAGGGGTCCGGAGCACAAATGGGAGGTCTCCGGAGCACAAATGGGAGGGCTCCGGAGCAGAAATGGGAGGTCTCCGAGCAGAAATGGGAGGGCCCCGGAGCACAAATGGGAGGGCTCCGGAGCAGGCTGCGTATCGATTTGGCGCGTAGCCAAGCAAACGTCTAACTCCACGGTGATGAGTCCTCTGTTTACGCTCTTTCTCCATATTTCAATCGCTGTTTCTTTGATTTTGTTGTTTTTCCGCGTTTCTTTACCATTTTTTTTCTTTTCCGCGTTGCGCTTCGTCGCGTTGGCGTTTATGTTGTTGTAAGTTCCTCGTTTTCAGGTTTATGTTTCAAACTTTCGTGCGGTTGCACTCAATCACTTTCAGTGTTTGGCTCTTTTCGACTTGCTGAGACATCGTAGACTATTGATGGAGTGGTTTTTGTGATAAATTCTGGATTTTCGAAACAATGAGGTTAGTTGCGCAACTTTCAAACCAGTGTTTGCTAGCCAGCATGGAACGAGGTCGAATTTACCCTGTATTCTTACCTTAATCTAAAGCATTTGCATCATCTCAAGGTACATACTGTAGAGGAATTCATCGCACGTAAAAATAGGCGTCACTGCGGACGCTGTCGGCGTCTCGCTGATTGAGCGCTCTTTCGTACCTCTTGCCGTCTGCTGTCTCTCCCATGCACGAATTATCTTGGTCGGACGCAATGACGTCCAGTCTGTGCATGTGATAAATCGCCTATACATTTGGTAGTGTAAGCGGGTTGATGGCTTTTTGGATCGATTTATACCTTAAATGTGTCTTATGCAGCTCGAAATATGCGTAACTGATTGAGTCTATCTTGTGCGTGATTACGAGTATGCGCACTGGAAGTATATTTTAATCCTTAATATACAGGGTGTCCCAAAAAGATGTGCACACTGTTTGATTGTTAATAACTCTCTTGCTTTCATGTCTTTTACCGAAATTGAGGTACCACTTTAGAACGTCGTTCAACTTAGATCTACAGTATTGAGCGATTTAACAGCCGCTCTTCATTACTGTAGGATTACGGTAGAAATTTCGAGATAATTTCAAGCCATTGAAAGCGGTATTTTGCCTCAGAAAGAAAGTCAAACAAGCCAGAAAGTCTTGAACTGGGTGAATCGAAATTTCTGATTCTAAATATGAAAACTGCACGTCAGTACACTGCTTCTTTCATGAGTTATTTCAGATAAGGGTAACAACAGGTTTTCCAATGTTCGTCAGAAATGTGAATGCGCCACCGAGAAAGCTCGAAAAACTGGTGGAAAAATATGTAGCGAAATCAGCACGCCAGAAAACCTTGCTATACAAATCTTTAGATTTTTTCAAAATTATTTCATCAAAAGGCTTATTCCACAGTGGCGCTGTATGCTGAAAGTTTATACCGTATCCTTACAATAATGAAAAGTGATTGGTGATTTGCTCTATACTGTAAATCTAAGTTTATCCTCGCTCTACAGAATGGTGCCTCAAACTCGGCAAAAGACATGAAAGCAAGAGAGTTATTAACGATCAAACAGTGTGCACATCTTTTTGGGACACTCTGTATGTTGATAGATACGGACGCAGTGCCTGCTGTTTTGATAGAGGTTCTCGTCACATCTTTATACCAACTCAAAGAATCTTTGCGCACTTGGACGTTTTATTGCACACAATTCATCTTGAGGATATCTCCCGTAATGTCATCATTTCATTATCATGACATTTCAGGACACGGGATCGTGCTGTACTTGCCAAGTGCGATGTTATCGTTGACGTGGGAGGTGTACACGATCATTCGAAGAAACGATACGACCATCACCAATTGTAGGTCTTGCTTTGCATGCTGTTAAGTTTGAGTCTCCTACAGTCATGAAGATCACACAATTAATGTTAGTAATTCCTTAATCGTGCTGTTTTTAGAGAGTTCAATGAGACAATGCAGACATTGGGCATACTGGATTTTAGCACTAGACTCAGTTCAGCTGGATTGATCTACGCCCATTATGGAAAGCAACTGATCGCAGAGGTAAGCATTGTCAGTCAGGGTTAATCTTTCTTATTCAGTTTATTATCGTCAGATACTTGATTCCTCCCACGACGATAAAATGGTGTATATATTTTTTCGAAAGCTTTACGAAACGTTTGTCGAAGCCATAGATGCTATCGATAATGGCATCCACAGTATGATGGCACACCCTGGTAAGAGGCTTGTCAGAATCCATTTATATTTTGCTTAAAGTTCAATTTTTTCCGAATAACGTTTTGGATCAGAATCATGCTTTAATCATCAACATATTGTATGCTGATTTCTTCCTATCTATATTGATTTGGCTGTGTGGTTTTGCTGCTTCAACATATGACTTGGAAAATATCAAACATCTGGTGGACTTTCTGGTCGTGTCAATCATGTGAGTCCCTACTGGAATGAAACTGACCCCAAGCCCGACGAGAGGTTTCAACAAGCTATAGATCTTGTTGGAGGTTAGTCTGGGTGAACCGCAGTCAAGGTGTTGGCTGTTTGACATCACCCATGCTGTGTTTCACTTTTGATTGCATGTTTCTCGCGCAATTGCGTTTGTGCGGTGAGAGTCGCGTCGCGGAATGTCTTGAGTCAGCACGGTAACGCAGGTCATGCTATCATCATTTATAGTGCAGCTTTGAGATCACGCTAGATTAGGCGATTTTACAATGCTGGTTGAGGACCTTTTCAATCTCTGCGGCATTGACGGATGCATATTTGTGCACGTGACAGGTACATCTGAAATTTCTCATATTTTTTGCCAATTTCTTCATTTTGTGGTATTTAGGGTTTATCGGAGGTAACAAGGCATTCGAAGGAGCTCTAGCTATGGCAAAGAAGGCGCTCGAAATTGGAGATGCGGAGGTTTGTGTTAACGTTGCATTTAAGAAATGGAGTGCCAGAGCATCGTGCTTTTGCTGGCCCAACAACTTTGGGAGTATCAGAATGAGAATTTTTTCTTCTGGATGATATCCCGAGTGATTTTGGATACAGGGATCGGTTCATAATATTTGATTGAGTTGATTGTTTGGAGTCAAGATAATGATAAATGTTTCAGCTAGCAGCAAGATCTGAAAATGGACAGGAGTTAAAGAAAATGAAACTGGACAATGAACAAGCAGTGAGCAGTACTGAACAAGCAGTAAGCAGTACCGTGGAACCTGCTCATTAGGATAGTTTCTGATAGAGAACAGAAATCTTTCAACTCTTCCCTTATCTTTACCTCATCACAGCTGCATTCATTTTTCTTCCCACCTTCGTGGTATCTGTATAGTATTTCTTGTTTACTAAGTATCGGTCATGCCATAGGACGCTCTCGTAGTCGAAATATTGTTCAAGTTGCTCTTGTTATATTCTCTAACTGTGATTCTCTGTAAAATATGGTGATTTCGTTTATCACGTCGTATAACTACTTGTCAAGTTCTAATTTAAACTGTGTCTACCAAAAACTTCCGCCCAAATTCTTGATTATGCTGATTTTTCTTCGATCATGAGTAAACTATTAATCGGGTGTTTGCAAACTTGGGTCGCGCTGAACTCCTACCCGGGGGGGGGGGGGTCCTATCCGGCTAATTTGGGTGGAGTTTAAAGACAAAATTGGGGTTTGGAGCTTAATTAGGGCTAATTACAGTATGCCGCGGCAGACTTGCGGAGCACAAAATCGGGGGGCTCCGGCGCACAAAATCGGGGGGCTCCGGCGCACAAAATGGGAGGGCTCCGGAGCAGAAATGGGAGGTCTCCGGAGCACAAAATGGGAGGACTCCGGAGCAGAAATGAGAGGGCTCCGGCGGACGAGTGGCAGACCCACCGCTGGGGAAACCCCGCGGCCCTGCCATTTCTCCGGCGGAGGGGTCCTATCCGCTGTCTGAGCATCTATTCACTTACAATCAGAGATATGCGGCGAATGATTGAGCTAGCTGTCTGAAGCCTTCTGCCGAGAGGTTTTATCGCACTTCGGTGCGTTATTAGCCTCAGGGACAGTGCGATATTATCAATGTTTTATCATTTTGATCAGAATTTTGTATCACTGATGAAAGGCAGACGAACAATTTACACAGAGTAAAGTTTCTCAAAGGAAAAGAGCCATGAAATTCAGTTCCTTGAAATGGCCAGAAGTTTAATAATACAATATGCAAAAAAGTGTAAGTTATTGAAAAAAATTCTCTGGAATACAAAATTGGAGGAAAACGAACGAGACATTATAACAGGAATAGTAAAAATTAGCATTTAGACTTACTGATGTCAAGCGAGCTAAACCAAACGAAGTCAAATGGATGTGCCAACGTAGGTCAAGAATTGAGTATGGTCACTGATAAAAGATGGAAATATGTCATATTTGCAGATATAAAAGAGAACAGCGTAAATAATCGAAAACTCGAATTGTCCGGGTAGTTTATGACTTGACTTTATTGGGAGTATTTTGAGGATTTGAAGAAAGTTTATAACCCAGAACTCGTTTTCTGTGCCCTCCCATTCACTCTTCAGCTAGTGGAGTTCCCCGGTAATGCAGCCACGAAAATCCGATAATTTTAGGACTATAAAATGTGCTCGATTAGCAATAATTTTGCTCATCTAGGAAGAGGAGGATATTGAAACCCACGTCCATGACTGTTTCGGTCTCCGCTATGACGTTCTTGAATTTTCTAAAGCATGCTGATGTTTGCGAAATTTGAGTAATTCTCTTCATTTGACTCCAATGACTCTCGGACTTTGTCGTTCCAGAAAGGTATGGTACAAAAGAAGTAGTGCGCATTGTAGTGACGCGCAACATTTTCTCTTCCAAATGACACTTCCAGAACTTTCTGTAGCCCTGCTCAAAAAATGATATCTAGTAATTGTTTGTAATGGATTGTATCTCTCGAACTTTCTCATACTTATTCACCGAAAGCCTTGTTGTAAAGAGCTTATTCCGTGCTTTCCATCGTGATACGAAGAAGTTACGATTTTTTTTAAAAGCGATGAATTTTCGGACCAACCTAATATAATGATGTCCAAATGTGTTACAAAAAAATATTTCATGCATTGTTTCACTTTGTGTCATTTTCAGAGATTTGTCGCTTGTATATATTTGTGAATGGTTGCCTGGTTCTCAATAAACTAAGACTTTTTTGCTGTCTGAAATGATAAAGATATCGATAATGTCGCGCTGCCTCTGAGGCTGATATCGCCCCTCAGCGCGCAGAGTGCGAGGAAACCTCTCGGCGGGAGATTTCAGACAGGTAGCGTAATTATTCTACCATACGTGGCGGCGCTGAGGCCAGCTCTGGCGGCTGGCTACGGCAGCAGTCGGCTCCTGGGTACCACTTGCTACGCACCCGTATTTGTCAGCAACTCTCGTTCACAGTACATAAACACAGACTCGTAAATTTATAACAAACCCTGCACCAAACCTTCAACCATGGTGATATGTCACAGCAAGTTCACAACGCGGTATAACACAAAGCTCAAGTCCCAGCATTGTTCTAGGCTAAGCTTCCCGCTACGGCTTCCTATCGACCAGCCCTTAATCGCACTATGTTATGGATATTGGTCGTCGTCTGCAGTGGCAGATTTTTCAACTCCTCTAAAACATCTAGAATATTACTCGTTGATTTTCTTGTAATCCGTTGTTATGGCTATAATCGTGATATTTTTGATTCTTGAATTATCAGCATTCTACGCTATGAAAAATACATTGATCAAAGCCATCTTTATGGAAAATCGGAGGATTTGATGAATGTTGAATGAACCAAAAGTTTGGCTTATTATCCGTGTGATTAAGTATTAAAAAAGCAAAACTGTTTGTATAATTAATTACTAATATCCCATACCATTCACTTATCCAGGTATCGGCGATTCGCAGGGCACGGCACAGGTGGCTTAGCAAGCAAGCTGGATATCGTTTTTGGGGAAAAAGCAAAGGGGATATCGTTTTTGGGGAAGCGAATAACTTGTCTTTCGATCTGCGGCCGGCACGCTGCCGGCATGCCGCTAGCAAATAAACAAAAGGTTTGTTTACAGCGAAGTGAAGATGAAATGACACCAAAATAGGTGTGTAGATGGGCGATGGGGAGTTAGAACTAAGTATGAAAAATTATGAAAAAATTATGTGAACTAAAAGCGTGCCCAACTTTTTTCGGAGTTAGGTGGCTTTCAAGCCATCTGGATAGCCACCTGAGGTGGCTTAGGAATGAAAAAGTCATAAATTTTTCCTCCCTCACATAATTTTTCCACTTTCTTTACATACTTTTCATCTACATCCCGAACCCTACAAAATGGTTCCTAAACCGCCTCAAACCCTCTTCTCCCCGCTTAGTTATAGCCCCTTGAAAATTTTGAATGGCCGCGGAAAGGCTGCTCTAGACGCGAATTGCTGCACGATGGATACATCATGCCGCCATTCCGGAGAATATGAATATATAGTGTGGACCCCGGCCAGGTTCCCATAGGTACTTCCGCGGCGCGCACGCAGCGCGCGCCCTCCTCAATGCTTCTCGCCTCACTCATGGGCAGTAGGGCATATTTATGCTCACAAAGGAGAAGAACGTAGAGTGGAAACCTCTAGGTTCACTCCGAAAGAGACGTATGCAAGTATGAAACGCAGGCAACCTCTATGAGTACCTCAAATTGAATCATGGATGCATATTCCGAGCTTGCACTGATGAAATAGGTTGTAAAAAGTATACGTAGAGAAATTAAAGAACAACAGCACTCTTAAAACATTTCTCTTCGCAGACGTAGAAACTAGAGTGGTCAGAAATTTCAAAAAAACTAAACCTTTTAGTAAACAAATGCCTATTGTCTTCCCGGAAGGCTTAATTTTGACTTGAGACCACTGTCTACACCTTACACATCAAACCGAAAGGGACTCTTATTTTATACAAAAAGCTTTTGAAGGAATATTATCTTAATATCCAATCAAATCTCAATTTTTCGGAGAAAAAAAGGAAAACACAATACTATTACACAAAACTGAAGCTCTTATAACTATTAGGGCACGTGAAATCTCGTCACCGGTCATCGCGAATTGTTAATACCTGAAATAGAGAGAATATAGTACGCCAAAAACAGAAAAAAAAGAGAAAGGAGGATTTCCATCAGAAGCTAGGACAGGAGACGCACTGAAGGCGTGCGTAGCGGGTGCGTCGCGCAGGTACCTATGGGAAGCTGGCCGGGTCCACACTATAATTGCTTTGTTCGATGATTCTTTTTCGTTTTTTTTCTGCTGTTGCTTTGTTCCGTTCCTTTTCATGTATTCTTCTTCAATATCTTGTGGCGGATGTCGTAAATTCATTGAACTCAAAAGGGACTTCATTTTCGCAATTTCGGGACGCCACCTCGTGCCGAGCCCTGGTTTAGGGTCAAAGGGGACTTCGTAAAAATTCGCAAAAGTCAAGGGGGACTTCGTTTTTTGCATTTTCAACTAGCCACCTCGTGCCGAGCCCTGGCGATTCGTAACACGCAAAGACTGGGCGCCCTTGCGTCCATCCAAGATAGCTTGTGCTTGAGAGAGATAGCAGATGGTAAGAAAAACGAAAGACCGCTTAATCAGGGAGATACGGATACGTCCGCAGTCTTGGTGCAATGAATGGCCTTTATCTTTTTTCACCTCCTATCCTGTCCTTACCCCAACTCCATATAAAGCACATCAACGTAAACAAATTTAGATACAGTTGCAGCGGTGGAATTTGTCCAAAACTGCGGGATTGTCGGGATTTGCGGGATTGTCGGGATTTGCGGGATTCGCGGGATTCGCGACTTCACGGGATTTGCGGGATTCGCGGGATTCGCGGGATAAGCGGGATTTAGCTATAACTTTTTTCAAAACAGCTTTATTTGTAATCTGCGGGAAGATTTGGCTTTAGCTTGATGAGACGAATCTTCTGGTATACAATATGTCCGTAGTTCTCAGTGACACGGTAGACATATGGTGATACCTTGTTATTTTCTATGTTAAGGCTTTTGTGAACATTTATCACAGTGTAAATCGCGAATAGGAGGTCCTGGTACGAAGTTCTCAGTATCGAAAACTATCGCGAAAAATTGGACAGTTTTTATTTACCCTTATCACTGATATAAGCATTTAATCATTTATCACTGATAATATCACATTTTTGGATCATTTGTGGCATATGGTAAGAAAAGTATTGTAGGAAACGCTGTGTAAATTTCTATCGCTCTTTCTCTCATTAT